TAAAATCTTATAAATACTTTATAAATACCTTATAAATGCATTTTAAATACCTTTAAAAACCTTTAAAATATCTTGTAAAACCTTTGAAATGCTTTAAAATAACTTGTAAAACCTTTAAAACACCTTATAAAACCTTATAAATACTTTGATCGAGTCTTCAAGTAGTAGTTACAATCCATAAGTACTTTATAAACCTAATAAAACTTTATAAAATTTTCAGATTTTAAAAGGGGCATTTTTGAAAATAGACATATCAAATGAGCATATTTGAAAAGGGGCACACTAAAAGTGGTATTTTTAACAATTTCCCAAAAAAAATTGGTCTCAAAAACTTAATGAATAAGATTCAAATAATTATAAACCAAAATTATTATTTTTTGTCAATAACTTGCATTACTAGTTTTAAACCTAGACAGGAACGCACACGATGACACGAGTCCAAACTATTAGCCATATGTTTTCGACAATAAAAATTAAAATTAAGCCTTAGTTATTGAGTATGAAATACTAAACATGTATCTAAATAAGTTTTGAACAATTATTGAAAAGATAATTCATATCAATATATAAACAGCAATAACATAATTCTCAAATTTCTTCTATTTTATTGCGATACTGTGGCACAAACACAACATATGACTTAATATATAACAACGGTGAAAATACGAGTGCGGTCCTCCGAATTCCACTAGATAATTAAAAATTCATCGTCTGAATATGTTGTAAAATAAAACAAAAGTCACCAAAATGTTTATACCAAATTGGAAAAAATTTGGAGCCTGTGCAAATAATATGGTGAAAGTAAAACGCAGAAATAAAAGTGTGATTTATCTTTTTGGGTTAAAAAAAAAAAGATGTTGTGTTGTGTCTTATGATTTGGCTTCGTTTTACTTTTATTGACTAAACTTCTTACAAAAACGCAGTCTTTGTCCGCACTTTGCCGGTCAACCTCTTTTATGATTTTTGCTTTTTGTTTCCAAAACCCTTCTCTTTCACTCATCTATTCCCATAGGCCATAGATGTATATAATATATGTAGCAAAACCAATTGTATTTCATCGTATAACTAAAAATGTGAATCCAAGAAAGACATTATCACCCGAAACCATTGGCTCTACGTAAAATCATCGTAGACATTGCAACGGTTAAATATTTGTAATTCAATGAAGAAAGAAAGCTATGGTCCCAAATTCGGGACATTGCAAATTTGCAACGGAAAGAAATCTTATTTACTCTGCTTTGGTTTTCTATTCGAGAAGAGACTCTGAGCCGAAAACTTAGAACTTTTTGATTGATCAGAAAAACTATTTTTATTTACAAAAATTAGGACATCATCAAGTGAGGGGAAATTATTACTTATAAAATAGAAAACATTTGTGTTGGATCAGTTTTTTTCTTCGGGCATTTACATGCTAAAAAGTGGTCCAAAAAATATTTATAGTATCTAAAACTAAAACTGAAACTAAAGCTAGAAGAGCATCAAGATTTTGTTTCTAGGAAATAAATGATTTGACTGCTTAATTTACCTTACAAACCTCATAAGTTAAGTTACAAAATTCCTAGTTTACCTTTTGTTTTGTTAAACTTAAGTTATGAGTTACCTTATAAGTTAATTTTCATTCCACCGTTTTTTTTTTGTTACCAAAAAATTCGGACCTATGTCTTTTCATTTTGGAAATATTCTCGTCAAGAAGGATCGAACTAAAAACACAATAGAACCAACTCTAAATGCTAACCACTACTCTACTATACTTTGGCAAGACCATTAGCATTTGAGTGTGAGACCATTGATGTATTCAGATTTTGTTCTTTATTTTTTGTCTCAACTCTCAGAACAAAATTCCTAGTTTCCCTTGATCTGATGTCTTTGGTATGTCATTTAGCTTGATTCTACTTTTACGAAGTTTTATGACAATTATGAGCTAATTCAGCGGAAATACAATTTTCCACAAACAGGTCATTTATGAACGTGGTTCGATAGAAAAGAATAGTAGTAAAAGTTTTAGTCAATGAAAAAGTATAATTTCTCAAGAGTATACTCCTATAGTACTATGGGGAGAGAGTAGGAGAGAGGAGTTGAAGAAAGTAGAAGAAATAGAAGAAGAATTGTGATTGGGAAACTGTGCGTGCGTCTTTGAAAAAGTGAATGGAAACATATATCATCATTCCTCCTTTTCTCACTTGTTTTTCCCAAATCTTTTGCCTTATGCCCCTTTGTGTCCTCTTCTCCTTCTTGTCTTATTACATTCCTTAAAACAAAAAATAATGTTTTTCGAAATCAATATTTAACATTTTGTTCATGTATTTAAACTATACGTTATAGTTATTGACATTGTTTCAAATAGTATTAGAAGCATGAATAGATGGAACTACAAAACCTCTCAAACGGAGTGGAGTTTAAAATTTAATTTATAATCAAGCATCTAACGGTTTTTCATACAGAGAATGATTCATATTCATTGAAAGAGATCCCTTTTATTCTTGTCTACAACTTCGATAATGTTATTAACAAAAAAAAAAAAAAAACTTCGATCATGTTAAATGGTTACAAAGTGCATGAAGCCATGTAAGCCCACAAAATAGGCGGAGTGAGAGAAAGAGAGAGAGTACGTTCCAAGACAAAATGATTAAAGGTCTTTGGGAAGTCATAAAGGATTAGCGTGGGAAATGAAGCTCAAGAGATAGAGCACTGTTTTTTTTTTTTTTTTTCGTGAACAAAATTGGCTCCCTGCTTTCTTTCTTTTGCTATGCTTAATTATTCTGTTCTTTTCAGACTTTTATTTACATTTTTTTGCTTTGAATACTCCTTATATTTAATATCAAGGTCGGTCAAACTTCAAAAACTATAAAATTAAAATTAAAATTAAAATTCTCTACTTTTCTCTACATAGTAGTATCTTTCTTTATTTATTGTTAAGGATTCTTACGTTACAATATGAAAATCGCAGCTTCTTTCTTACAAAATTGTTCAGAATATATACTACAAGAATCGGAAATAAAGGTCCTATCTGAAATTAATGTGAACCGTGTTTTTGCCATTGATGGTCTTGGTCATGCGTTACATTCTAGAGAAAGTATCCATCAAATTTTTTTGAAATAAAAACCTAAAAATATATGCTTATAAATAAAAACCGAAAATATATACTTATAAATACGCACACGTGCATGTATATTTGAGTGTATACATGTCAATTTCCAATGTCGTATATTAGACTTCATCTAAATAATTTAAAAAAAAAACTTGGTAAAGAAGAATATTTAGGGGGAAAATAAGAATTATTAAAAGATAAAATTTCTTAAGAACTTTTATAATGAAATGAAAGTGCGAGGAAAGCAAAAGGGCTTTTTGGTTGCAAGCTTGAGACTAAGGTCATGATGATACGGCCAGCCTTTTTTTAGTCTTTGGTCGGTCCGACAATCTGTGTGTTTTGTGTTCACTCTCTGTTTTACTTTCATTTTATTTACTTACATTTCGGTTATAGTGTTTCTCAAGCTCTCACATATCCTGTAACTATAAGGGGATGTCATTTAAAGTAAATTTTGGACCATTCACTATGAAATTAGAATTTACTAATTTTGATATTTTATTCCCCTGATAGCTACACTCCTTAGTTGAGCTTTCCGTAAGTTGAAAGCAAAGACGACTTGCAGAGTAACTTTCCAAGTTGCAAACCATCCATTCATCTATAGAGACATATCATATAAACAAATTTATTTAGGAAAAAAACTACAAGTTGTATTATGATTTATGACATTATATGTATCTCCAGATTGATACACCCATGTCTATAAAACCCATAATATATTGACTTTCTAAGTTGCAAACTATCCATACGTCTATGCATGTACATCGTATGAAAATTTTCTATAGGAAGACCTAGAAGTTGTATAGGTTTATCATCACATGTAAGAACTTCGTTCCACAATTTTGTAACAATTGTAATTTTAAGACGAGTTTGTCATTAGCACTAGACACTAGTATTTGGTAAACATATAATTTCCTTATATTCAATTTTATTTATATGTGGGTGTCAATATAGATAACCCAATCCAATTTGACCCATAATATTAATGGGGTGGATGTTAACTAGGTCAAGGAATAACATAAACCATTTAGTAAATTAAGTTGGGTCAACTCATGATTTATTTAGTTTGATGGGTCAAATAGTTATATAATTCGATCCATGAAATTAATTTTTTCATACAAATTATCTTCATAATTAACAATGATTAGCATATAATCGATATCATAAACTCATTGTCACCACATCATCATTATCATTTTTATCATCATCATACCACCACCATCATCATAACATATCATTCATCATCATCTATAGGGAAAAAAATATGAATTTACGTTTTCATGTATGATGATGATGATGATCGTGGTATGATGCTATTATGATATGATTATCAATCTAACAAGAAACAAATAGTAGTACTTATTTTGTTTCTTATTTAGTTTTTAACAAAAATGTGGTTAAAATAGATAACTCAAATAAATATGTTACAACCCAACTCATTAGTTCATTAATTCACTAAGGTCAAAACTCATTTGACTTATATCAATCTAATAGGGTCTAAATAATTTGTTATGAGGATTTAAATTTGGATGGTGATATAACATTAGTATCAAATTTAGTTTACATGTATTAATTAATATTTGTTGATATCATGGTTTAATTTAGAAGACAAATAATAATTTTTTACGTATGTTATGTGAACTCTAATTACTATTTTAGTGCTCTAATGTAAATTCTATTCATTATATATAAATCAAATAATCTGCAAATTAGAAATAGAAAGTGAAGTACTAAATGCGTAAATTAAAGAGATAGATAATCTAAAGAATCTTAAACCCATTACCTTTTTTTTACCTTTTCAATAATTCCACCACAACACAAAACACAAGTTGCAAACTCCACATATCCTCCAAACCATAGGTAACATACAAACGCATGAGTTTCCTATATATGTCTGCGTCTATAACATTTGAAAGCAAACTTTTGTCTCTTTTTAACTCTCTTAACTTTTGTTTCTTCTCCTACCTTCTTTTACCAACCTTTCCTTTCTTTTACACATTTATAGATATATATACATATATATATATAGAGAGAGAGAGAGAGAATTGGAAAAAGAGTTGAAAGATGAAGACTCTCATGTCTTCATAGAAACAAGTGATATGTGCGCAAAGAAAGAAGAAGCAGAAGACAGTTCTGGAGCCATGAACAACATACAAAATTACCAAAATGACCTCTTCTTTCACCAACTCATCTCTCATCATCATGATCCTTCTCAAACTGAAACCTTTGGAGCATCCGGTAACGTTGGATCCGGATTCACTATCTTCTCTCAAGATTCCGTCTCTCCAATATGGTCTCTACCTCCAACTACCTCGATCCAACCACCGTTTGATCAGTTTCCTCCTCCTTCTTCTTCTCCAGCATCTTTCTACGGAAGTTTCTTCAACAGAAGTCGACCTCATCATCAGGGATTACAGTTCGGGTACGAGGGTTTTGGTGGAGCCACGTCAGCAGCACATCATCATCATGAACAGCTTCGGATCTTGTCTGAAGCTTTAGGTCCTGTAGTACAAGCCGGGTCTGGTCCTTTTGGGTTACAAGCTGAGTTAGGGAAGATGACAGCACAAGAGATCATGGACGCTAAAGCTTTGGCTGCTTCAAAGAGTCATAGTGAAGCTGAGAGAAGAAGAAGAGAGAGAATCAATAATCATCTCGCTAAGCTCCGTAGCATATTACCCAACACCACCAAAGTAAGTCAAAAAAATTTATACATAAATTTTCATACATAAATAAAAGCATTCATCATCGTACACCGTTTAAGATTTTTGTAAATAGAAAATATTAAAACAATGTAGATTTGAAGTGGACAAACATAGTAGCTGCGACATGAAAGTTCATGTCACATTTTGTCTCTTTTTTCTTTCTTTTTTTACATTTAGGTTTTATAAAAGGAGAAGTAAGTTATTCAAAGGTTTTACGTTTTGATCAATGATCTTCTGGATATTTGTTAAAGTCCCGAGAGAGAATCAGTCAGAGACTGTATTATAAATAAAAAGTAAGGAATATGGAACGTCTATGTCGTCGCTTGGTTAATTGATGTAATAAAGAGAAACAAACGGCGCTGCTTAAAAAGCATAAAAAGTCTTATTGCCGGACCAAATCATAACTTCTTCGACCACATAATTTTCTCCTCGAAACTATACAAATATGTTTTTTTTGTTTTTTTCTTTTTTAATTCAGACGGATAAAGCGTCGTTACTAGCTGAAGTGATCCAACATGTGAAAGAGTTGAAGAGCGAGACTTCAGTGATCTCAGAGACAAATCTTATCCCAACGGAGAGCGATGAGTTAACGGTAGCTTTCACGGAGGAGGAAGAAACCGGAGATGGCAGATTTGTAATAAAAGCGTCGCTTTGCTGTGAAGACAGGTCGGATCTCTTGCCTGACATGATTAAAACATTGAAAGCAATGCGTCTCAAAACGCTCAAGGCGGAGATAACCACCGTCGGGGGACGAGTCAAGAACGTTTTGTTTGTTACCGGGGAAGAGAGCTCCGGTGAAGAAGTGGAGGAAGAGTACTGTATAGGGACGATAGAGGAAGCTTTGAAAGCGGTGATGGAGAAGAACAAAGTTGAGGAATCATCTTCTTCTGGAAATGCTAAGAGACAGAGAATGAGTAGTCACAATACTATCACCATCGTTGAACAACAACAACAACATCATCAGAGGTAATCAACTTTTACTTAATCGCTTTCCTCTTTTTATTTTGGGTGTATCTACTACGTGTGTGTTGTTTGATGGTTATGGAAATGAATGTTGTACGTCACGTTATACTATAGATATATGTGTGTTTGTGTGTATGTATAACGGAGATATTTGTATCCGTTGGGGTCTTGGACTTTTGGTTTGCTTCTAAGATACTTTTTTAAAAAAATCTTGTATCGTTTAGTTGGTTTATACATGGCCAATGCATGGGTATGAAAAATTTCGTTTTATTGGCAATGGGAGGATTTGAGTTTAATTTTAGTGGGTTTTGGGTTATTTTTGCAATTGTGTGAATGAAACCAACAAGAGACAATGAAGAAGAACAGGAAACGTACCAAAGATGATGTGTATCATTAATTGATTTAGTCGGGTTCGGTCCGGGGGAAAAACAAAAAGAGACAAGTTTGGGATTCTGAGCTTAGTACGTTGATGCTTCTCTGACTCTTTTGCCTTGTGTATTTATGTGTTCTGTAGAATCTTTTTTGTGTAACGATTTTACATATATGATATATCCACAATTCTCATAAACAGATAAGTTTTAAGAATTAGACCTAAACAATATTCAAATATTTTGCTTTATATAAATTGCATCATGAACTGGTAGGAGGTACCGAGGTAGACATGGGACCAAGACTAAGATATAAAGTACATACACATATAGTCAATTAGTTTTTTAGGTTGGTCCATGAAATTTAACATGACATCATGGGATGTTGCAGATCCTTAATATGATAAATTTGATAGGAGTAAAACCCCAGTTCTAAAAATCCCCGCCTAGCCTGATTACTCCCGCTTAATCGCTAGGCACATCCTCTCCGCCTCGATTAATGACTAATCCCTTAAAAAAAATCAGTTACCCGATTACTCTCCACCTAATCCGATTAATTTCCGCATAATCCGATTACTTTCTGCCTATTCTTACATATCCCGATTATTTTTTTATTGCAAGTATAAAACAACTTTTTTTTGTTATTTAAATATTTGAATTGGAAATTTGTGATGTTTTACAATAATTTATGTTCAAATGTTTAACAAAAGTCATAATTTTTAATGAAAAATCATAAAACAATATATTTTTATGTGTTTACTACAATTTTGAAAACAATATTAGATTAATATATTTTTAAAATATTAAAATAACCCTAAAACTAATCCTCGATTAATCCCTGATTTTAATCCGATTTTCTGATTAATCGCTAGGCCTATACCGAACGCCCGACTAGCGCCTAGCGATTTTTCAAACAAGGAGTAAAACACATAATATGTTAAGGAATAATATTTATTTTAGACTCTCATTAAAATAATGTTACAATATTTTATAATTATGACTAGACATAATTTCCTAAATTAAGATAAATACAAATATATTAATATTTTTATGGATAAATATAAATTTTCTAAACTAAGATGCTTAAATCTCTAATATTTCCATATTGAATATCAATTGATGATAAGTGATTGTGATTGAGATTGGTCCTGACGAAGAACATACGTAATTGACGTCGTATTTGTGTTAAGCTTGCATCATGAAGTGAAGTACGTAAGACGTTAGTAATTATTATGATTTTTTTGGTACTTACGTACTATTTGTACCCTAACTGCCATTTCATTTGTCTTTAACATTTTACCCAAGTGACGGCCATGTGAATTGTCTAAGTACTGACTCCTCTTTTGGCTTTCTCTAGACATGACCTTGAATTCAATTCTAGTTTATGCTAATTATGTCTTCATTATCAAACCAAAAACTTTGAAGATTTCTCAATTTTTATGGAGACTTGCTGCAATTAGGGCTCAGCTGGTCATGTTGTTAGTGACATAAAACGAGAGGAATTTGATTTATTTGGCTAGATTCCCCAAAGATATTGTACTACCCATTTGCATTGAAAAAATATATCCCAAAAGAGCCTTTTCTTTGAACTTTTGGCATCTCTTTTTGTTTAAGAAAAGTGTGTTAGGAAATCTTAAGGCCCAGCCGAAACCAAGCCCAGCAATCTTTTTACAGTTAAGTCTTTTACTACAAACTTTTAGTTTCTGTTATAAAGATTCAGCAAAAAATTACCATTGATTTTTACCAGATAGTGCTAATATCAATTTTCAGCAAAGTTTTACCGTAAGTATCATTTAGATTTGTAATTAGTGACTAGTTGCCAATTACGATACTTAAACGGTGCTTTCCCGTTAAAAAAAAATCACTGTTCACACCCTAATTAGCATATTAAACCTTAATTGTTTGTCAACTCAACTTTTTTTTTTTTTTTTTGTCAACTCAATCATTTATCTAGTTTTAATGTTAAACAACTGTTCATCTATCTTATCAACAATAAGAATCTCTCTAGCCGGACTTATAAACTTGCACGACAAGACATTGATATTTTTTTTTTAATTAATGAATGAGAGAAACGACTTTTAATACTTTTCTCCTCACAAAATTATTGAACAGTATTAGTAATTTATATATATATATATAACAAAAATTGCTATTGGTTGGTATATTTATTGGTGCATATGTCAAGATATTTCTGGCCACAATCATTAGAACGCGATGGTAACATGTGCTACAATTTGACAATTCTTTTCATCTAACAAATGATAACTTTGACCTCGTTGGCATTTGTTTCTCCCTAACACAATGCTCGAGCTTGTACATTTCAGATGGAAGACTTGTAATCATATGTAGTTCGTGGTGCTAACTCATTGTTGACATGTTTTTTTTTTTCTTTCCCATCAAACGAATTTTGATCTAATAGGAAAAAATTATGCATTATTAATTAAACAGATTCTTGCTTGGGAATGAAATAAATGTTTCCCAATATTTCTTCTGTTTCAAAATATAAGGCGTTTTAGCTAAAAGCACGCCGATTAATAAGATCTACTTTTTAAAAGTTCAGCCAATCATAAAAGAGACTACATAATAAAAATAATCATAAAATATTAAAGTAATACTCCCTCCGTTTCGTTTTAGTTGTCGTTTAAGGTTTTTTCACACAAATTTAAAAAGCATTAAATTTTCTGTTTTATCTTTTATAAATATATTTTATAAAAAATTTCATTGGTCAAAACATTAAAACCGTAGAGATAAAACTGGAATTTTCACCAAACATTTGCATTGAAAACATAAAACGACAACTATTATAAAACAAAATTTAAATCTTAAAACGACAACTAAACTGAAACGGAGAGAGTTGTATATAATTTGCATAGAAACTTGAAAACGACTTATATTTTGAAACAAAACAGTTTCTCCAAAACGTCTTATATTTTGAAACGGAGGGAGTAAAAGAGATATGTTCAAAAACTCCTCAATCAGCAGCCCTAAAATAAATACCGCGTCGTTATTCCTAGGACCTAGAATTTGATCCCATATCCGAAGATATTACACCGACGCATATAGAATTCATGTTCTTTTATTTTATATAGTCAACCACATGTATCCATAAGTACACCTATACTGTATTATTTCCACAAAACTTTATAAAATATGCAAAAAAAAAAAAAAAGGAGATTAACTTTGATACGTTAAGAGCAAACGCAATGGAGCATGTGTAATTGTGGGTGTAAGTAATTGTTTATTATTATAATTAAAAGAGAAAGAGAGAAAAAAGAGAGAGAGAAATAGAGAGAGATAGAGAGAATACATTTTTTTCTATTTTTATAATGCCTTACACTTGAGTGTAAGTCTACACCCGATTTTTGTTGAAAAGGTAACTTTTGCAATATTTCTCAATTGTTTATAACTTACACCTATGTCTCAATTACGCCATTGCGTTTGCTCTAAGAGTGTTAACTTAATTGTTTTTTATAACGACAAAACTTATAATTCCATGTCACCTCCCATGTTGTCAGAAAATATCTCTACCCAATAGTAACCACTGTTCCAATTTAAATCGCATTCTCTATTATATATCATATTTCCTAAATTACCCTTATCTAGGACCATAGTAGCTGCAAAAAGTAAAAGGGTATTTAGGTAAAAAAGACATTTACAGAGGGCTTTGGCGTGGAAGCTGAGCCTTTCTCCGAGTCTGGAAAATGTCTTTTTCTCTAAAGAATAAATCTTTTTCTCTTCTCTTCTTGAAAATTTCCGCGAAAAATCTCAACTTTTCCCTCTGAAATTTCCCCAGAATCAAACAATTGGATCTTGATTTTGAGCTGTGTTTGAGTGATTTAGAGGCTTAGGGTTTGTGGCGAAATGTTGGTACAGAGAAGAGTAATGAGTTGGAGAAGAGTCTGGAAGTCGTTTCAAGCGGCCTCTGCGCATTGTTTACTCTTCTCCTTCACGCTTCTTCTTGCTTTGAAGCTTGATCATGTTGTCTCTCATTCATGGTGGTTAGTTTTTCTTCTTCTTCTTCTTAAAGTTTCCTTTTTTTATGCAGTTTGTTGGGCTTGACTTCTGTCAAGTATTGGCAAATTAGGAAAATTGTATGAATCAATCGATTGGTTTGGCTGATTCTCTTATTGCAGAGGCTAAAAGCTTGGATTTTTTAGTACATAAGAACTGTGATTACTTGGTTATATGACTTTGAATCTTTGGTGATGTATAAAGTAGAAGTAGTATGATCATTACTATCCTTAAAGGTTAAGACTTTGATGTGGATAGCTTTCACTCTCTTTTGAATTTGTGTTGTTTTGTCTGTTTTACAGGTTTATATTTACACCCTTGTGGTTGTTTCATGCTGTGATTGCTCGTGGTAGATTTTCATTGCCTGCTCCATCAATGCCTCATGATCGGCATGTATGACATTTTTTATGATTCTCTTGTCTCACCTTGAAGTTTTATGATTCTTTAGTTAGCAGGGTTGTTGTAACCTGTTTAAGTTTTGATTTGGTCTTGTGGCAGTGGGCTCCTTTTCACTCGGTGATGGCAACACCGCTGCTTGTTGCTTTTGAGATCCTTCTCTGTGTACATCTTGAAGATAAATATGGTATTTTCCATAACTTCTATTCATTGAATCACGGCATGTATGATTGGTGGGTTTATTATAGCTTTCGTTGTGCTCCTCTGTTTGCAGTTGTTGACTTAAAGATTGTCTTCCTACCGTTGCTTGCATTTGAGGTAGCAATTTTGATAGATAATGTCAGGTATTTCATTCAAAGCTTTAGGTTTGATTTTGTTCACCCTTCTTACTACGCTAGAGTATGGAACAATTAAATCTTGTTTGCAACTATTCCTGCAGAATGTGCAGGACACTCATGCCTGGAGATGAGGAAACTATGAGTGATGAAGCCATATGGGAAACACTTCCTGTAAGTTGGTTGTTCTCTATATACAAACTTTTCCAGGAATTTTAGTCATCAAAGCTCGAAAAGTTTAATATATGATCCCTTACATAGGGCTACTTGACATTGTCTATTTCTCTTTCCATTTGGACTTTCTGCTTTAGATGAAATGAAATTTATGATCTGGCTTGTTCTTCAATCTTATTAACTTGTCTCTGCAGGTTGGTTCTGACATTGTCTATTGGTTTTGTAGCATTTCTGGGTTTCCATATCTATGGTATTCTTCATTGCCGCAACAACCTTCACTCTTCTTAAATTATGTGGTATGTTAAGCTTTTACTTAACTATTTTTTTGGAGTTAATGATCCTCTCCCTTCCAACTGCAAGCTTATAGGTGTTCTTGAAGTTACTATTTCCATGTCCATAGTTCAACTAAAAGATAAGAGAAGAAAAGTAAATTGAGGTTGTTATGATATCTGGTGACTGCATGTCCTAACAGTTAGTGTGTGTGTAATTTTGTAAAATCGACTGCTTACTCATTACTGTTGTTCTGCTTCATAATCTCTCTTTCTCAATCTGTTTCTTTGTTTCTGAATCTGTTATCTTTCGAGTCCTTGTATAGGTGATGTAGCTGCGTTGGGATGGTGGGACTTATTTATAAACTTCGGGTAAACTACTTTTTCTCTTTAAGACCTTCTGCCTCTTAAAATATGTCTTCTGTGCCGGGTTTGAACAATCTTCTTTCTCCTCAATTTACAGAATAGCAGAGTGCTTTGCGTTTCTTGTCTGTACAAAGTGGAGCAATCAGTCAATTCATAGGTATTCACATATACCGGAACCTAGCTCATCTTCAATGGTAGTAAGATATCTGGATTGGAACAGAGGTCTAGTTGTAACCGCCGACGACGAGCATCAACAAAGCAACAGAATATGCGGTCTCCAAGATATTGGTGGACATGTTATGAAAATTCCATTCGTTACCTTTCAAATAATCCTTTTCATGCGCTTAGAGGTACAGCACAGACAATTCCATTGCTTTTGAAACATTTCCGCTTTCCTGGCTTTGAGCTAATTCTCTTTCATCTTACTTCAGGGAACGCCCGCTTCTGCCAAAAACATTCCGATTTTAGTTCTGTTTGTACCTCTTTTTCTGTTACAAGGAGCTGGGGTACTTTTTGCTACATATAGATTGGTTGAGAAATCAGTCTTATTGATAAATAGTGGTAGCGGTTCTTATGGAAGATATTTTACCGCGACATCATCAGCTCGTGAGTACCTGGGATTCTTTCAACATGGTGCAAGGTACAATAGCAAAAACGAACTAAACATGAGAATCTCTGGTTACGGAGACCTCCTAAATACTAACCTTTCTCAAATCATAATTATCAGATTACTTGGCTGGTGGTCTATCGATGAAGGAAGTCGGGAAGAACAAGCTAGGCTCTACTCTGGAGAAGCTACTGGGTAAAGCTCTTTTATTTTGGTAACAAGACGACAATTTAGATCTGGTTAACAACATATTTTGTTTGACTCCAAATGATTTCAGATACAACACTTTCTCACCAGAGGTTGTGAAGAAAATGCCAAAGTCTGATCTTGTTGAAGAGGTAAACTACACATAAGTCTTTTCCTTTTTAATATCTGAAACCAAAGCAAAAATCTTGAATTCTTAAACTCCTCATCAGATATGGAGACTCCAAGCTGCATTGAGTGAGCAAACAGATATCACCAATTATAGCCAGCAAGAGTACGAAAGACTTCAAAACGTAAACCAACCACTTATTTTCTCTGTTCAATAACCCTCCCTGAAAGCAACGATTTGCTTAACCGAATAGATACAAATCTTGAATTTCAGGAGAAGATTCTTTGCAGAGTTTGCTTTGAAGATCCCATCAATGTGGTTTTACTCCCATGTAGACATCATGTCCTCTGCAGGTAAACCAAAGTTTCTTCTTTTTCCTCTATCTCACTTTCATCGCATAGTGTTTCTGATATTTTTCGGTTTCCAGTACGTGCTGCGAGAAATGCACGAAATGTCCGATTTGTCGTGTCCTGATCGAGGAGCGTATGCCTGTATACGATGTGTAGATTTCCAGAGCACTAATCCATAAATGAAGAACATATTTCTTGCTTGTTTGGTTTTGTTTTAGTAATGAAGCAAGCACTTATATATATATGTTACAACTTGCATAGGAAAATCCAAATGTGGATGTACATAATCTTGTAATCCATCGTATATGTCATGAATCTTCTCTCTCTTTTTTTTTTTTTTTCCATGTAATTCTTTTTTGTCCTATTAGAGTACAAAGATCCGGGTTTAATGTTAACCATATAAACCAATATTAAACCGGGTCTATCTACTCTAGTATGTCCAAATCAAAATGTGAATTAGTATGTGTATTCCTTTGGGTGGCCACTTCAGATCTTTACTTAAAAAGCGTGTGAACGTAAAAATATTTAGCAAACTCAAAAGAAGACTTAAAAATGTCATGATCATCATACAATTTGCAAAGATACAAGTATTAATGGTTTAAAAGAAACAAATTTCGTGTTTTTAAAGATCTCTGAACTCTTATCTTCCAGTATTTTTGTCCTTAGTCCGCCGCATTTTATATAAGAAAAAGTTGGTAAAAATAGTCTAATTGATTTTTTTGTTATTCTGTTGTGAAACTCATTGTCATAGTAAATTAAGAAGTGAAAAAAAAATTAGATGAGAGGATGTATCTTCAATGTGGCCGACAATAGTGTTTTTATTTCACAAAATGTTATCCCTTTTATGCTCTGTTAGTCAGTTCGTCTCACCACCTTTTTAAAATCTGACAACAATTTTAGATGGTATAATATCAAATTTCAGATTTACATAATTTATTTTGGCAAAAAATAAAATATTTTATTATTCAAAGGGATGATTTTATTCTATTTCATAAGTTGGTAGCTTTGAATATTGGATTTTTCTCTCTTATTAGACGACGACGACAAACATTAGAATTCGTTAAATGTCTCAGTCTATGCAAATTAGACAGATATTTTATAGTATTTCTAGTTTTTTGGTTTTATAGTATATTTTCCCACCATAGCCATAAACGGCCTAATTTGGTATAAGTCATAATTCTTTAACCTTTTTATGTATTAATTAAACCGGGTGATAAGATTCAGCAGAACACATGCTGAAGACAAAGTTGTATGCGTTGCAGTATCGCTAGCCAAACCAATGACTACGGATTGTCAAGCCTGCAAAATCTTCTGCTTTTCTAGCTAGCCTTGGTCTTCTGAAATACTATGACATCCAATGTGTCTACCATTCCAGAGAGAAACATATTCACCAGAAAACATGCATTATATTCACTTTATGAATCCACCATTTTACTTAGATCCACTCAGTGGAGAGATTGTTTCATTAGATCAAAATCAGAGCTGATGACATTGAGCAATTCGAGCACGTAGAGATCAACAGAAATGCGTGGATTTTAGATGATATAATATCAAATTCCAGATTTATATAATTCTATTATTCAAGGCCAGGGGATGATTTTATTCTATTTCAGAAGTTGGTAGTTTTGAATATTGGGGTTTTTTTTTTTTCTCTTTTAACAGACATGCATGAATAACAACAATAGACACCAGAATATCTTCTACATGTTATTCATCCTATATATGGCCTATATATAAAATCAGTGAATTTTCTATGTATTTTTCACTCTCCAAAATTTGTATTATATATACATAAAAGTTTATATCAATGTATTTTAAATTCAGATTTATTATTTATGGAAAGTTATTTTAGTGTAGTACTATAGTATATATATTATAATATAATATCTTTATTTAGTTTATAAACGCTTAATCTGTTTTAGGTTTTGATTACGTGATACATATAGGTCACCCGTCGCCGTCCATTTATAGCCTAGCATTTTCTGAATATTGGTTACAAGCATTATTTGTTTCTCGACTGTGTTTTCTTAGGTAAATGGTGAAGACAACAGGATGGATCATGCATGTTGTTTGTTCCATTTCTTCTCAATATATTTTGACGGTAAACAAAAAAAAGAATTGTATGTACCTTTATAAATTGTTTGGTGTGAAGCCGTGAAGGTCTTTATATCGGAAGCAAAATTAAAGAAACTTGATCAGCAATAAACAACAACAAAAGATATCGAATTAATAAGTTACTAATATACATCTGAAAAAAAACCTTCTTTGGGATGAAAAAACTACTACAAAAAAAAAATATACATATTAGCTCCGTTTAGAAGTCAATACATATAAAGCTTTCTTCCCAAGGGTTATAACTTATAAGTAAGACCCGCAAAAAAAAAGAAAAAAATAATAATTCTTTGGTTAGTCTTCATTAAGCCGATGATGATGATGATGATAATGATTTGATTTTTAGTCATGCCAACAAAGAAGCATGACGACACACCTCCTTATGATGTAAAGCTTAGCCTTTTGCTCTCTAACCACTCCTCCCACTCCACGGCTCCACATCTTCCTCTTTGTTCCTCCTACACTTGAACCGGTCGTCTTCATTTTCGCTTAACGGATCACAAATCAAGATAGTGTAATTTTTTTGGCAGTGAATGTGAAAGAGATGAGAAGGGAATGATAATAATGAGGAGGGTGATGAATGAAGAGGAGTTATATATAGAAGTGAGAAAAAAGTAGTGCCTAAGGACAGAAACCGAACCGTACCGAACTAGACCGGTCCATGAAAGAGGAACGAGTGGGTCCGTTGGGGTTTGTGCACTGTTCCCTAACCCACCGGACACTGTGCCCCTCCATACCCACGTGGACCCCAGCTTTGAAAGAATCTTTGCCCTAAATGTGATTATTTATCCTCTATCACATGCTTTTGCTTCTCTCTCTCTTCATGAAAACATTAACCAAACCCAAAATGTTAAAGTCGGATCTACTCAATTACCATTTTCTGTAAACAATGAATACCATACCGGTGTTTAAAGTGAACCATATTTTTATCCGATTTCGATCGGTTTAGTCTTTCATATATTGGGTTTTGTCTAGAATCTTAAGTGTATCAGTCTTTGATATGGTTTTGTCCAAAATCCAAAGTGTATGCAGTATACCAAACCATATTCGACGTTAGCAAAAGATGTGACCAACCAAAATTGTCGGGAACTACTATACTAACCATCCAAAATCGACAAGTGGCCTGGTCCCCGCAGCATATTTCAACATATTATAAATCATATTTGAGTTTTAATGATTATTGCTTTTGATAATAATAACTAATGAAGAATAACATTAAATTCCTTTAATTAATAGACGTAAGTTGTATATATGTAGTGAGCTAGTGATATTTCCGTAGCGACCAATTCTAGTTAAGAAGTAATATATACACTAGGATCGTGTAGCCACATGGAGAAATATTCAAAAAGGATCGAATTTTATGTTTAGTCTATTTGAGTCAGATATAAATTATTGGTAGACAAATTTTATGGAATACTATATTGTATAAAAATTGCTTTGTGCGCCGAAATTGGTGAGGATAACAATTAAACAAACGTTAATAGCAGTATTAAAGACCAAACTATAACTAAATGTGGGACAGTTAGGCGTTAATTAGGTGGCATAATCCTAAATTCTAGATTCTTCTAAATATAATATTGAGATTGTATCAATCTTTTCAAAAAACCGACAAATAGTTGGTATGATTTGAGAAGTAATTAAACCAGCTTTTTTATTTATTCACATCAATGGTTTACCCAAAGGTAAGTAAAATAAACATTGAAAGATCTTATCCTACAGCTATATCACAGCTTCATAGTTAACGTTAAGATTGAAGTTAATTAAATAATTAGCTACACAAATAACCAAGTAGAGCTAGGTGTGGTTTGATGTGGTTAACGGGCTGTTGTACGTCATTGGTTATAGTGAAGTCCTCCTCGAACATGGAGAGTGGAGGAACCGCACGTGAGGTTCTCGTGATTCACAAAATGCCTTTAGCTTTTGGTCGTCTAAAAGAACAAGTTTCAGAAAATACTCAGTGGCGGAGGTAGAAATTTATGTTACGGGGGTCAAATTTTTTTTTTTAATATAAGATAGTACACTACAAATTTTGATATTTTTTATTTGGTGTTTTGTAAAAACTGAAATTAATATCAGGTGAGTATTTCTTTTATTTAAAGTAAATTATGGGTCTAAAATTTTAGTGAGAATCCAACTTTCAAATATTTGGACTATTTTTTCTTTCAAGTTGCAACATTAATTTTGTATTGGGGTCAAAATTTATTATTAGTTGGGGTCATTAGAATTATTGCTCATGACATATAATAGATTTTTGAAAATTCATGGGGGTCAACTGACCCCCTATCAAACCCCTGCCTCCGCCACTGAAAATACTAAAAGTCACACTTATCTTTTTTAATCTATGGTTTATTATGTGAGTTGGTCTCTGTCATTCTTCTTTACTTTGAAATCTTGTCGTCCTTTTATGAACCAACTTTTTCTTCACCTCTCGTGGTTGTAACAAAAAAAGTTACGTACGTGTGCTTTGTGCGATATATGGATAAACGTGAGAGTGATCATTATACCTTTTAGATCCAACAAGCTCAAATAACTACATAGTCTACATTCATGAATGTTATACGAAAAGACTTATACCATTTTTATAGGGTTTCATAGCGTGAAAAAATGAGTCTCATATATACTTTTTATCTTTAGCATTCATCAATTATTTTGCATTTTTGAGAAATGTTTCCACTAGTTGGTATGCCAAAAAAAAAGAACTAGAAAAACCTAAACCACTTTTTTTTTAACGTTTACGACTATTCAACTAAAATGTAATACCTTTCGAGATCATTTGACTATTCTGCTATCTCAATTTGAAGCCCTACTTCAAGAAATGTTAGATGTTATTGTAATATTGGGTTATAATCTAAAGTCTAAAAAAAAAAAGGCATAATATTATGTATTAAAGTATTAAACGCATGTGCTCTGTGTAAAAAACTCATGAGTGATAGAGAAAACGACTCCAGGCTCCAGCTTCAATGGCGTACGAAAGGATTTTGTTTAGACAAATTAAAAATGGACAGTCACTTACCTCGAGAGCCAGCAAGCTAAATTTCTTGACCAGAGAGACTTCTCTAACTCTTCGTGCGTATCTCATGGTTTCTTAATACTTACTTTCTTAGGTCCGAAACCCGAAAGGGTAACGTGCAGTTCAAGATACCCTGCCTTCTGTTTTTTTTTTTATTGACGGTTTCACATATTCCTATGACATAAACAAGTATTCACAAGAGTTATGAAACTTCAGAAACAGAGTCGGTGACTGCCAAGTGTGTGGATTTAGGTACAATGTTTTCTTTAAGATGACTTGATTTTAAAAGTTGTAGAAATTTTACTAAGGGCTACTAAGATATACATTGAGATTTACACTATCGGAACGAAAATGAAAAATGATATAGTCTGTCCTCACTCCTCTCTGGGGATCCATCTGTTCCACCACACGGTCTTTCGGCCATCGCTAATCTCATCAATAGTCTCAGTAACTGTTTTCACAAGCTTCCTCTGAAGCCTAAGTGCTGATGCAAGAGCATTTCTTTGCGCATTCGCCTTCTTTCGAGGCTCTTTCTCCTATAGTAATAATAAAAAAAGAGAAACATGGTTTGGGATTGGGCATCAATCTTGGGTAATTCCAAATATTATAGGTACTTGAAAAAATGAAAAAAGTGTAGATTGACAACGAACCCTGAGTTCTTGGAGTTGCGTTTCTGTGAATCCACCATCTTTTTCTGTCCCATTTTTTGCCATTAACTGAATCACCCAATTTGCTGCTTCACTGTAGTCCTGTTGTGTAGCCCTGAAGTACTGCATCCTCAAGTTTTGCATGACGGACAACGCAAGCAATCCTTGTCTATCGAAATATGGGTGAGCAAGAGCTGCTTTTGCGCTGATTCTTTGTCTTGCTTTGTACCGGACCATCGATGTAAGAAGTTCCCATCCGATTCCACCGTCTAGATCTAATAGCTCGAACCCTCTACGGAGATCACCGCTTGCACGTGGCTCCACTAGTTTTCTCCAAGCAGTTAAGTCATATTCACATCTTTTCAGCTGGCGGTTGAACTGAATGAGGTTGCTGTCAGATCTTAAGGATGGGAAGGCCTGGAATGGTAAAAGCATGGTGAGAAGTTGATAAGAACGAAACTGGTTTCTGCTCTGATAATCGAGGAGGGGATGATAAAAAACCAAGAACAATCAGAACAACAGAACCAAAAGCAATCCAGGCAATGAAAAATTCTAGAGCATTCCCCACTTTCCCAAGGCCTAACACCCCTAGAAACCTGAAGGATCTCCTATTTACTCTAATCCTAGTCACTGACTGATGAACGCATTTATAACATAAATTGACACAACCAGAACATAGGGACTAGGTGCTTGTCAAAAGATAGTTGAACATGCCTGAGTCAAAACCTCTGAGAAAACTAAAAGCCAATTGGTGTATTGCTGCTTACCATTTGAAGGAAGATGAGGCCAATGCTATAGATATCAAACCTATCTGGCAAATTCATCTGTTTGGACAAAACAATAAGCATCAAAATCCAACACTTAAGTTTATGAAACTATAAGCTTTATATCAACTAAGCTCGCATAGTCAAACAATTGAGTTGTCACCTGCCACAGGACAGGGGAAAGTGCAGCTGCAACAGGTGCTGAAGGTGCAGATGGAGTTTGGGTGCTCATGATGTATTGCTCAGGTGCTGCATACCTGAAAGCGACAAGCCGAAAAGAAAGATATTTATTATATCACGGAGAAACAAAATTGCTGTTTCTGAAGTTTACGAAACAAAAGGTTCACATTTATGATCCTTGGCACAGAAAGATACAAATCTTGAAAAGAAAAAGACCTTGGATCCAGGAGAAACTCTTTTGGAATGTAGTTAATTCCCACTCTCAAATCAGCTGCAGCTCCAAGATCAATAATCTTGAAAGAACGAGAACCTGCTCAAGTTTTAGTGGACACAAAACATGAGTCCTCATCTTTTCATTGGGTTCCCTGCTTGAAAAGGTTCGAGAACTAAGATGATTTACCTTCTGAGAAAATAATGTTCTGAGGCTTAACATCCCTATGGATAATCCCAGTTGAGTGAAGACCATCCAATGCAAACAAGAGTTGTCTCATGATAGTCTGAATAATTTTGTTTTCTCTTTCCAACCCTTTAGGCAAGTCTTGAACTTTCCCAAGGATGATAGTTTCTACCTATATTATTGCCTTAGAACGTGCCAACACATAGGAGATAACTGCAAAAGGCTAAATAACCATGAAAAAGAATCACATACATTATAAGGGAATTCTTTACTCTGCAGCAAACCAGCAAGTGTTGATTCTCCTTCATATTTCCATAACAGCCAATACTCAGGTCCCTTCTTCGAAGACTTCTGCAACAATTTTAACAAACAGCTAAATCATAAACCAAGAAATTCGAAGGAAGACATCATTTCAGAGGAAGAGAAATTACATCGAGAAATCCATAAACAAAATCAGCACAGCTATTCCCACAAGCTCTTCGAACTCTCTCGTTCATCCAAATTTCCACCGCACCATATTCAGTCGCCTTCTTCAATACATACTCACCCTCCTACCAACAATACATCATCCTCACCTCAATAACAAAATGATAACCTCAATCCAAATCAAACACAAAGCAAATGATCAAAGCTTTTGTTTTTACCTCATTAGAACGTTTTTTGGATAATGAGACTTTATAAACAACACCAAAAGAACCTTCCCCTAATTTCTTCCCAACAACAAAATCATCCTACACAAAACCAAAACCTAATTCCATCAATCAAACCAAGAGACAAAACCCAAAAACACTCAAAACCCATCATAAAAATCGGACCTTTCTAAAAGTAGGTCGAAAAAATCTCTCAACGAAAGCAAGAACAAACATATCGAAAAACCCAGGAGCAACACCAGGTGTTGCCCATAGATACGAGAGAGCAGTGAGAGCTAAAGCAACTCCA